GGTATAATTTACACTCATTTCCAGCATACCCATGAGGTAGTATAGGCCAGTTGAAAGGATATAACTACTAGAATTCGAAAGCCAGTGCAATCCAGGCCCGGGCATTTCTTCAAGGACTCAGATCAGCTGGCTATTTATTTAGAAGACTTTCTAAAATAGCCCAACCATTGCATTTTTCTACCCTAAGCATTATTGTTGGACTATTAGCCAGGGATATTTTGAGAGAAAAAAAGAACTTTGAAAGCCCAGCATGTAGTATAGGTAGGAAACTTCATGTCACTTCACACACACACACACACACACACACACACTCACACTCACACACACTCAATTATATAGAAGCATTGGGGGGAAATAATGCAACTATTTAATTAAGTACTGTTTATTAGGCCAGGGCACTTGGGCAGTGTGAGCCTTCTCATTCTGAATCTAATGTAATACATAGTGTTCCAGGAGCATAGGGCTAATTACCATGGTCTACCTACCCAGAAACAAAATAAATCAGGTTAGGCCTGAAAGGAATTGAGTATTTTAAGTGCAATAAAAAATTGTGTGGTATTCATTTCACTTAGGATCATCTTATGGATCATCTTATATATATATATATATATATATATATACATAGAGAGAGAGAGAGAGAGCTATTCTGCTTATCTGTTAAGATTATCCTAGACATATAGTAATTATTGCAAATAAGTGAAACCATGGGATTTATGTTTCTTTGGGCCTGGTTTACTTCACTTAATAATGATTTTTTCCAAGTCTTTCTGTTTCCTTACAAATGGGGCAGTGTCATTCTTTCTGGTGGAAGCATAGAATTCCATTATATATAAATATATATATATATAAATATATATAATATATATAATAATATATATAATATATAATAATAAATATAAATATATATATACATAAATATATATAAATACGGTATAAATATATTCATTCATTCATCTACAGAGGAGCATTTGGGTTGGTTCAAGACATGGACACAAGAGGTTTTTCTTTGTTGTCGTCTTTAATCTACTATGTGATTTTTTTTGTTTCTTCTGTATGTTCTTCCCCCTATTGTATACCCCTGTTGTCACTGTATTTAATTTTGATATTCTGGTATTGTATATATGTTTATTTGAATCGGGGAAGGGAAGGGGAACAGCAGAATGCAATAGTAATATACACAAGACAATATGTTGGAAATGATCTGTACAACTTGGCGGGGGTGTTAGGAGGGAGGGAAAGTACGAGAAAAGTGAGGGAAGCGGTATCAAGTTTGATAAGAAATGTACTTATTACCTTATTTAAGTAACTGTAACCCCTCTGTACATCACCTTGACAATAAAAAAATCCATTAGAAAAGAAAATGTGTGGAAAGGTGAAAAGATGTTTGACAGTATGCCAAACCCTGAAATTCCTGAACCCTAATCTGTGGTGAAGAGATAATGACACCGAGATGAGCCACTGTGATTGTTTATTCTTTGAGGTCCATTGTGAACACCTGCTGCTGAACTCAAAAATGACCATTGAGGTTGACCCAGAATAAGTACAAGTTTGTTTCTAAGGTTTGTATGTCAAACAAAACATTGCCATGTATCTGATAGCTATAATATCCTGAGCCTTCCAAGTTGGCATTTCAAGTAGGGAGACCATGGCAGAGGAATGACAGCTTACCCCAATCTATGTTTATTCTCAGGTAAATTTAGTTTTATCTTAACACCATGTAGTCCAATTAAGTCCTTAGTCTTGGATAGCTATTGTTTCCTTAGCCTTTTGCTTCTTCCATGAGTGGTAGTGTGGTAGTGAAGTTCCTCCCACACACAAAAATATAGTCATTATAACTGTAACCACTGAGGTAAAATTCTTCCAATGCCTTTCCTTTTTACATATACCACATTCCTTTAGTGTCATGTCCATCATAGAAGCAAGTACTAATCTAAATATGTTCTGACTCATTAAAGTATTAGTTAATTACAACAGCCAATATACAGGGAGCCCAGTACTACTGACTCAATGGCTAAAGCTTAATCATAATTTTATTGTTGAAGGTGATGACCACATAATCATTTCATTGTAAATTGGAAAGGACTTTGATCTGACGTAGTTTAACATCTCATGTTAGAAACAAGGACACTAGGACCCAAAGATGATAAATTAGTAACTAAATGCTATAAATGTCCACGATCTCTATTAGTGCTTGGTATGGCTTGAGCTAAAGAAGGACCCAGGGATATAAAGTAAATGAAGATTGAGGTGCTGGTGGCTGGCATCTGTAATCCTAGCTACTCAGGAGACTGAGATTGGAGGATCATGGTAGAAGACAACCTTGGCAGGAAAGTCCATTAAGCACCAAAAAAAAAAAAAATTCAGAAGTAGAGCTATGGCTGAAAGGGTAGAGTGCTAGCCTTTAAGCAAAAAGCTCGGTGACAATGTCTACACCCTGGGTTTAAGCTCTAAGACAGGCACAAAAAATAATAAATAATAAAGTGAGTGAAAATACAGAAAAGGTTTTATGAGAAGGCAAGAAGAGATGAAGGAATACAATTCAGTAGGAATACTAGCCAGACAAATCCAATATAAAAACAAAATTTCTTTCAATTTAGAAATTTTTGTCCAGACTTGTCTCCTCTAATTCCTCTCTGTGTTCAAATAAGAAATTCCCATTATTGCTTCTCCTCCTCATTCCCAGAATGCAGAATAACTGAAAGTTAAGCCAAAATAATAAGTCTTATTCTCCTCCCTGTGTAAACTCCACTCCATGTCCTCACCCCCACTTAGCATATATTCCAGATATGTTTTATTCTTATGACAAAACTCAGTATGGTCTGATTTCTGGAATGTAGCAGCCTCTATATCCGTAAATTCTGTACCCCAAGGCCCAACTAACTGTAGATTAAAATGCTGTATTTGGTCTATGGAGGTTATGAAGAAACTCTTTTCTTGCCATTATTCTCTAAATGATATAATATAGCAACCATTTGCATAGAATTTGTACATGAGGTACTGTAAGTAGCCTAGAGATGTTCTAAATTATATGGAAAGATGTGTATAGCTTCTCTGCAAATGTTATGCTATCATATAAGGGACTTGAATGTCTACAGATTTTTGTAGTTACGAGGTTCTGCAAGCCACCACATGCAGAAGCATGTCTATTTTCCATTTAGAAAACATGCACCAGAAGATGCCAGGATATGGTTACCTATGTAGTGGCATTTAAGATTCAAAGACAAGTACATAGAGAAGTTATAAATATGGGCTGGATTTGTCTCCCCAGGCAAAACCTCCAAAGCCAATAAAAATAAGGGCTAACAATTTAGTCACCAACTTCGACTGTGAATTTGTGCTGTTCCTGAAATGTTGGTATATTATGAGTCATCTGACGCTAATGTTTGATTGTAAAGAAAAAAAGAATCTAGGTGTCCCCTAGTTCCAACAGTTTCATTGTGAAGAACTGTGTCAATGGAGCTGTATCAGGGAGCAATGATTGGCTAGAAGGTTATCAAGGTTCTGAGTGTCACTTGGTAGAACTGGCTGAACTCCATCTGGTCAGGAACTCTAGATAAGAAATGCACTCATTACCTTGCCCATGTAATTATAACCCCTCTGTATGGTATTTTCACAATAAAATATGTGTATATATTTAAAAAAAGAATAAGGCAGGGACACCAAGTGATACCATTGAGAAGCCAAAGTAAAAAAAAAAAAGAGAGAAAGAAAATATGAAATGAAGGGTTTTTGTTTGTTTGTTTTTTGTCAGTTGTGGGGCCTGAACTCTGGGCCTGGGTCCTGTCCCTCAGCTCTTCAGCTCAAGGCTAGTGCTCTATCACTTGAGACACAGTGCCACTTCTGGCTTTTTCTGCTTATGTAATGCTGAGGAATCGAACCCAGGGCCTCATGCATGCAAGGCAAGCAGTCTACTACTGAGCCACCTTCCCAGCCCATGAAGGGATATTTTTTAATGTACTCCTACATTACTTCTAAACAAATTGGTATAATCCAATTGTGCCCCATAGGGAACGATTTCAGGAGGTAGGCAGTCATCTGGTAAGGATGAATTATGCCAAACATGGAGGTCCATGTTTGGAACTTGGCATAACCCCTCAATCAGACCTACCTTAACTACATTAGGTAAATCTCACTCAATTCTTGTGCTTCCCTCAACATAACAAGCACACTTCTCTGTGATTTTTGCCCTTAACATTTCCTCTTCCTGAAGTACATTTCTCTATGATCTACATGGCTTCTTTCCACGTCACTGCACACATTCTTTTCCTCCTTTTATCAAGCATACATTCCTTTACCCACCTTTATAACACAGCTAATTCTAAACCCAGTCCTCCAGCCTAATAAAGACAAAAAATTTGCTTCATAATTTCTATATTCCACGTAAGTAGAATAGTGATTGGCATACAGTAGATGTTCAATAAACCTATGCTAAAAAGGTTGGTAATGGAGATCTTATCAAGCAAAGGTCTCTGTTATGAAGCCTAAAAAACAGTTTAGGAAAACTTTGGGGATGTTGTCATAGACAAGGTCACTCACTCACACTGCATTCAATTTACATGTAAAAATCTGAGAAACATCGGAGATAGTACAATGTCCAGGTAAGCACGATGATACTATTATCATTCAGTTCCCATCAGGCTCCAAGCACCTTTTTGAAGACCTGTCTTCTGATATACGACACTAATTTGTAGCTCATGGAAAGCCAAATAAATTATCTTTCACCTGAAGGAAGCAGGATTATTTGACTTCAGATATTTGCCATATGGCTTTTCTTCCACACAGCATAGCTTTGAGGCTTAAGGTAGTGAGAGCAAGAGCGTGCCTATAAATTATTCAGAGATAATTCAAAATAAGTGTGTATCCTTGACAGATCGTCAGGCTTCTTAATGCTTCTTCCTGGTAATAAGTGCTACCTTCTTTGGTAAAGTGCAGCTTGTTTCTCAATACACTTCCTTGATTTGGTTTTGTCTTGTTTGTTGTCTGTGTTCATTTCTTCACAGAGTCCAGTCTGGCTCTTACCTCAGCACAGGGTGGTTTACCTTCATTCTGGCCATGGACGCCTGTTACAGCATCCACGTATATGGCATGATAAATGACACCTACTGTAGGTAAGATCACAGGAAATTACTTTTATGTAGCTCCAATGCTGATATCTTGTCAAAATATCACAATTCATTTTAATGTCATAAATCTGATACAGATAAAGCAACAATTATTTCCTGGCATTCTTTGCTGACATGACAGTGTGTTGTCAGTGCATCAAGCTGCGATTTCCCGGGGATGACAAAAAGAAAAAAAAAGAATATTTACTATGGTGTAATGTCAAATGTCAAAAGGAATACTTTTCCTTTAATCAGTGTTCTACTTTTGACTCGTACTTGGAAAGATAGGACAATTTCAGTGGAAATTTAATTCACAGAAGTAAATTTGTCAATTCCGCTGTCCTAATGACCTGATAGCTATCTAGCCAATGGTTATATTGGATCATGAAAGACAAAATGTCTCCAAGCCTCAGAGAAACTGACAACTTAAAAATTCTTGGAAATTATATTTCTTTAATAAGTGAGTAATCTGCCATTTCCTTATTTAAAATGAGTGTATTTATCCACAGTATAAGCTGGTGGGGTTTTAATTAGGCAATAATACAACCTCTCCATATTTCATCAGACTAATGCAGTATATTTTTCTAATAACAACTGGCACAATATAATTTAGTGACTGTTAATCATGTTGTCAAAATGGTAACTCTCAGCCACAGTCTCAGAAACAAATATCTCTACTAGAACTAAAATTATAATGGAATACAGAAACCAAAATCTTCCTATGAAAAATCACAAAGATTCTCTAAGTTCTGTAAGAGCATAAGGCTATCCAAGGTTCTGTTCCATTATATACCATTTACTCTCTCAGAGGGTAGCCATATGTTTGAATGTAATTGGTGTGATGTATAAATTTTATTTGATCTATTAAAGCACTAAGAACCTGCTACATCTTCCTAAAAGCTTTCATACATAATAGCTTTTAACTGAGACCATCCACAAGAATCATGGATGGATTTGCAAGTAAATGCACTCACTGGGCACCTAATGGATTCTTGCAAATGAATGTTTCATTCTTCATCTCAACCTTTCTCTCCTTTTCTCTTTTATTCTTTTCTAGGACAGAAGGGTACAGAAAAGTTCCCTATCATTATTATGAACAAGGAAGAGATGAATGTGATGAGTATTTTCTACATGAACATGCTCCATATGGGGGACACAGGTTTATCACTGAAAAGAAAGTGTTTGCTAAATGGGCCAAGAAACACAGAATAATATTTACACATCCAAACTGGACAGTGTCTTGATGTTGAATGCATAGTACTTACCATTATTGTGATACTGCAACTGTGATGTTGATGAAGCAGATGATGATGATCATGATCATGGTGATTAGATAAAGACAACAGCAATGGTCAAGTTCCTGTATATTCTCTAGTGTGGATGGTGGCTTTGCTAGCAATCTGAACTTGGTATTCTGTGGAAGGTAGCTGTACTCATTCTGTTTCTTGAAGGTTCAACACTACATACTGCACTTTATAATTTAAACTGGAATTGAAATGAAGGCCAGTAACATGTCAACTGTGACCTAAGAAATGGGAAAAGTATCCTTCAAGATAGCTGTCCAGGATTCTTATGTAGTTACCTCCAAAAGCCATGGATTTGGTAAGGTTATTGAGTGCGTAGCCTCATGAGTATGGGTAACTCTGCCATCTTGAAGAATGGTTAACTGTCAAACACTGTCCCAAGAAATGCTATCAAGGCACAAGTATCTTACCACAGTTACTAGTTAGACTGAGGGAGAGAAGGTATTTCCTTCTGATATACCTTATTCCTTCATTGCTTCCTATAGCTAAAACCTCAGGCCATTACCTAGTTTAAGATGAAGACTCCTGGAGGTTTTACACATCAAGATTACTTGACTATTTCAAACACTTAATTCAAAATTTACCAAGTGACAAACCTTGATGAATTTCTACTGATGATTTCATTGTTACTGCTCAAAACAATATGACTAAGTATATTATTAGAATGATCTGTATTCATGTTTAGTTATTTTTGACTCAGTACTAAATATTTCAAAAGGCTACTTAACATGTAAGATATCAACTTCAACACTGTAATAACATAAACTGTGAAAATATTCCTAAAACACAACCAAAGGGTTTCATAACTCTGCTTCAACTTCCAACAACTACAAAAATATGCTCTTTTAAAATCATGAAACGGGGAAAGCAAAACATATTTTTACATCAATTTGTATTCTATCATACTTCATAATATATATTTGTATATTCAAATTTCTACTTTATAGGCCCAAGATGCATCTTTCTATTTATTTCATTATCATTGCCAAGTGCCAAGAGTTAAACACGATAATTCCTTCTATAAAATCTGACCAGAGCTTTTGCCTTCTTTGGGTTAATCCCCACTCCTATTCTATCAGTTGTTATTCCATAATAGCAACAGTAATAATGACCTTAATGTCCAAAGTGCTTTGTCATTTAGAGTCCTTTTACATATGCAGTATCATGTGATACTCATAACCATTTCATTAGACTAGAGATGGCACATTCTGCCATCTCTTTAGAGATGATACCTTATTGCTTGTTTGTTCTGATATAGTCCAGATTACTCTACTTGCTAATATTTGTATAGAATGGAATTTATGTAGACTAGTTACCAATTTATTTCAATGCCAAAAACAAGATGTTATATCAAGATTATGCAAAAAGGATCATAAAGATGGTCTTGGCCATAGACTAAGATCCCTGTGAGATGAAGTACTTTAAATTTTTGTTTGTTAATGGTTTTATTTGGGTTGGGAAAAGCTATGTATTCAAAAACAAATAGGAAGGAATAAAAACAGAAGAAAAGTTTCCTGTCCCTAATGTGAGATGACTCAAGTCTCTCCATATTCATGTGCATAATAAGTATTAGTGAATTAATCCAAAAAAGTCCACATGGAATGATTCAACAAACACTAGGTGCAACTTATACAGTCTTAGGGGCCATAAATAATGATGCATTTTTACCTCAGGAACATTTATCAGGTCTTTACCAGTGCCAAGAATCACGATAAGTTGTTATTAAAATGTTGTGCATTGGCTAAGAACCCTCTTCCTACTTTCTCATGCCATTTTGTTAACCTGGTGAAAGTGATCAAGCCCCAGTTTCATCACTGGAGAGAATTGTTATTCTTTCACTGTTTCTTTATATGATTCCTTTCAGTTCTATGAATATTAGTTTTCTGAGCTAATGATGGAAATGCCTGCTCAAAGAAAAAATAAATAGATACCAATGTTAATATTGCAAAGTAGACTTTTTTCTCCTCGTTTTGACAAACAAATTCAACTTTTAAATAAAAAAGGATTCTGGATTAATCAGAAGGCATCAGAAATGACATAACCTATTTTATTTAGCTTTCTAGTAAATGGAGGGCTGAATCTATTTGTTTTAACCCTTACTGATGAGACTTTTGAAAACTTCCTTGCTTTCCTGCCTCTTTCATGAAGGAGATTTTTGGAGTACCTTGCATCCCCTTCCTTTCCCTTTTAATTAAACTCCTACTGTATTTTTCATTGTTTCTATTTTTTGTTTTTATTTGTTTTCTAAAGCACAAATTGAAAAACACTTTATTCTTAACTTACAAACTCAATTGCACGATTTCCAGTGTAATCGGGTTTTGATAGTATCACAGAACTTATTTTCCCTAGTGGTCTTAACTTGCTCTGCTTCCATTTCCCATTCCTCTTTATTCTGTCTTCCTAATTCCAGTAGAAATGCAAATTTTAATCTATCCCAGGTTGAAAAGAAATTTTCCATCTCATATTGCTGATGGAGTGAAGCAAAGAGCAATGCAAGGAGAGCTCTTTTCATGCAAATTTCTAGTTGGTCCCCCAAGTTTTAGCCCACTAAAAGAGGTTAGCAACTAAACATTGAAATTTTTAAATGAACTCATCACTGATATGTGTATGTCCTAGCCATTTATTAATATCTATAGAAAATATAAATGTTTTAATATCGCCCAAGGCACTAAGCAAATAGATGATAGAAAATGGCTAGAAATTTCTGAAATCAGCATAAAAGCATACAAGTTACTAGATATTATTTCCAATTCTGAAAAATCCTACAAAAAGCCACACATTTTAAAAGGAATTTAAAGTGAATGCTTCAATACTTTTTAAATTAACCTGGGCAAAACAGTAATAATTTGTATTGTCATGATGATGATGTATGATTTTATGTGCCACAAAACTTATCAAAGAAATAGATTTGGAGAGATATTGTATATATGCACAGAGTACATCTGAGTGCATTAATATATTTATATGCATACAAATACAAAAATATTCCTAACTATATGTAAAGCAATACATGTAATTCCATATTCTTCACTGATGTGTGTGAATCAGAGAAAATCCTATTTTGGATTTTATATGAAATTTGTTGGGTTTCATTCTGAATCCTGATGAAAAAGCAAAAACTGACTGATTGCTGAGGATATATAAAATCATATTCAATAGCTGACCAGAAGAATAAAGCTAGAGAAGATGCTAAATCTAGAACTGAGAACACAATTAGATGCCACAGTTATCACCAATCATACTTGTAAGTATAGCAGTCTGTATCCTAAGCCTCTGCCGATTGCAACTCAGCTAAAGTCACATTGAAAAACATTGCATCAGGCACCATTCATGCTGAAGTAAATGAATACTGGTCCACCTATTCAAATAAGACAGTCTTTAACATGGGCAAAACTCAAATTTGCATGATTTTTATTATAAAGGTAGAGTAGTGTGAGCATTATTCATTCTGTAAGGAGATTGCTCTTTTAGGATTTGGTATAAAGCTGCTGGTCCAGGAGCAGGAGTCTGAATTGGGGGCCCTGCTGACCTTCTAAGAAGTAAAAAGCCTTCCAAGGAGAATCATTCATAGCTTCCTTAGTAAAAGAGACAGCACTCAATTACTTCAACCAATGGTGTTAATTGGATGTTAATTACAAGATCAATTTAATTTTGATAAGCAGGAAAATATAGACAGATGGCTTACTGTTTTTAAAGCTAAGCATCCAGCATTTAATATGGCATGTCAAATGAAAGAATTAACTATGTTGTCCAGTGTCAGTTGATTGCATGTCTTAGGACAACAAATGAATTATAGCCCCATGACCAGGAAGGAAAAAATACACTCTCCTTAACTATCCTTTAAACACACAGGGCCTAATTATTTTCATAGTACACATAGATCCTGTGTTGGAAGGAGGCAGTGGTGGCTTTTCTTATTAATTTAGACTTTTAGATCTGAAGAAGGGCTTAAGAATAGTCAGACACCTCCTTTTTTTTTGTTTTGGTGTTGACACAAAAGACCTGTGGGAGTAGAATGACTTGAAAATTGCCATGAAAGAACAGATGGCAATACTGAGACCTAAATTCTGGTCTTTTGTAACTTCTCTAATACTGATGGGTATTTTTTTAATTATTACCTTTATGTTGTTGCTCCTTTGTTTGTTCAGCACAAATTCTTGCTATGTAGTCCAGAGTGGCCTTCCAATCACCTCATGACCCTTCCTGCTCCCCTCCAAATTCTGGGATTACAGCTCTGTGCCACCAGGCCTATCTCCACTACGTTTGTTTTCCTTTCATATATTTTTATTGTAATTATAAATGTGATGCACCAAGGTGTTGTAGTTATATAAGTCAGTAAAGAGTACCCCTTTCCTCTGTTCTCTCCCAGTGTTTCCTTCCTGTCCACACCCACAAATGTTGTAGTTCATTTTCAGTGTAGTATCTAGTGAGTACTACTGAAATAAGATTTATGGACATGAACCCAGGAAATGGAAACAAGAGGTTTTTTCCCCTTTGTTGCTATTTTGTTTTCTTCTCCTTTTGTCTTGTTCATCTATCTGTCTTTGGAATGGTAAGAGAGGCACAGAACTGGTAAGACAAAGGGAAAACAAATGCAGCAGTGGTATCCACTATCTTAAAGCACAGCTGGTAAAATAAAATGCACATGTGATCTACTAAAATTAGAAACCAAGAGCTCAGATTAGTGTTGATTCAACTTAGGGTCAGAGAAGTCCCTACACTGAAGGGAAGAAATATTTTTATAATTGAAGGAATGATATCCCAGGCTTATCTATAGCTCCATATTCATTGCTAAAAGTAGGCCATGTTCTCTTACCAGGATATTTTGAGACTAGTGCATAGAATACAGAGGTGAGTTTTTTTACTTCTTTGTCTTATGGACAATTAAGCAATGGATATCCAAGAGATAGGGGTGAGGAAGATTACTCACAGAAATTGCC